TGTGCGCCAGAATCACATAAACGCGATTTTGTTGTTGGTAATAATTTTCTTAATTCGTCTTAAATTTCCAATGCATTACCTTTCTGTTAAAGGTGACGTCTATTTTGGAAACTGATAAGCGCAACGAAGTATTAGAACGTGTTCGGTCGATTTTGGCGAGGCTGAATCACTCGACCATTTGGTTGAAATGGTCAGTGCGATTCACTTTATTTCTTCTACATTGCTGGATATTTTTTGCCACTTCTCTGAAGTTATAGTCTTTATCTCGCCTTCTGAGTAGGCTGCCTACGGATTTGGTGGAGCGACTGTCCCACTTGACGGAGTTCGTGTGGGTAACCTGTTTCCAGCATAATTCGCTGGAAATCAGTGGAGCATGCTGGAAACAATGTACTACACGCAGTTTCATCAAGGGCGACGACCATCAAATCTAGCCTGTAGGCACTGGTTCTCAGGTGGCGAGATATGGACTGTAATCTTGTGAGCATTGTATCATTTGTTTGCTTGTTAAGGTGTGACATGAACAAAAATTTATTTCTACTGTTGTGCAATGATTTGGGTGTGGCATACGATATCACTCTGGATCATGAGCATTTGGTTCTGTCAAAGGTGAGAATCTCCATAACTCATCTATGTATTTCTATTCTCAACATTTTCTCCTATCATTCGAAAATTTGAATTCCTTTTCGCCAATTGCAGCGTCCGCTGGCACATGCAATTGTGAAAAGTGGCCGATTTTGTGAACGTCTGTCGGCAGATTTGGGTCTGCGACTGGAAATCTACCGCCATCTGCAGATAGCTCGAAGTCCTAATGAGGTCTGTCACATTTTATTTAATGAACTTGGTTTGTTTAAGGGTTAACCCTTTGACGACCGCCGTTATGAATGCGTCACTTCACTTCTTTCTAAATTTTTTCATCAATAATCATTAACTCTCCAACAATTTCACTATTAGTAATTAGCGCATTATTCCGCGAATTCGATAATGTATTTGTGTAGTTTTGAAACAAAAAATGCCAAAATAAACTCCTAAAAACGTGTCGCCACCGAGCGAAAGTGTGGCCCACCGGCGGGCCACACGGTCGCCAAAGCGCTTAAGTCGAACCCTATGTACACGGTGTTCGCCCAACGTTCAAGATATGATTCCTAAACTCCATCGTGCAGCGTTTGAATGCACCGTCAGCCGCTCGAGCAAATTAGGCTTCTTGAATTCCATAACTACTCTGATTAACACACACAACCACTTCCGAGTGCCGTTGCGCAATGCTCCTAACCCCGCTCGCAACGCCTCCGCCATATCGATGCTTTCCAGGTAGTCACACCTACCAATTTCACACTCTGTCCTCCCCTCCGTGAAACGGGCTGACTGTCATTAGCACCGCCTCCATGTCTGCCCGTATCGCCATACCAGAATCCGTCCGCTGGGAGACCCGCGCTAGTGGTCGTGGCCGCGACGTCGCGGTGGCGGTGGACGAGTTTCCGTAATCGTCATTCGATTGTGAAATGAGAAAGGAACGCCAAGCGTTCGTTTCAATACCTGAGTAAACCTGGCTCGCACCTGAAGTGGGGCGACCTTAATGAGGTGTGAACCAGACCTAATTAAGTACAAAAGGTGCCCTTTCTACGAGATTGATCTTGGGAATCATGTGAATGGAATAGATCACGAAGAATCATTGCCCCAATCGTCAATTCGAAGAAGGGCGCGCCCATCGAAAAACTGCCGCGTTTGTCCGACGCCCGCCTAAGTGACGCGCGCTGACGTCGCGTCACTCCTCCGACGATTCTGTGGCACGCTTCCCCTCTCCAACATGTTCGCCTATATGTGTCTATACGAATTCCGCAAATTCGATAATGTATTTGTGTAGTTTTGAAACATGAAAAATGCCAAAATAAACCCTAAAAACGTGTCGCCACCGAGCGAAAGTGTGGCCCACCGGCGGGCCACACGGTCGTCAAAGGGTTAATGAACTTGGTTTGTTTAAGGTGTTCGTCAACGTTTAAGATGAGATTTTCCTGAATCATGTGAGCGTTTGAATCGAGTAAGACGCTGAGACAAATTAGGTTTTTGAATTCATATCACTCTGATTAACACACACAAACTTCGATGTGGCGTTGGCAAGGCTCCTACCGCTCGCAAGGTCCGATATTCGAATGTTAGGTAGTATATACCATGTTCACACCTGTCCTTCCTGAAAGGGCTTATGGCTAGTCCATTAGCACGCCTCCATGTCCCTGTATGTGTTCTTGTACGAATTCAAAGACCAGGTTTTTGAATGCAAGGCAGTGTAGGGTGTGCCTCAAAACTGACCAGTAGTAACAATGGAGGTCTTTCAGGACAAAACTACAGTGCAAAAATGACAATGACAAAAATAGCACGGAGCGCTTTTTCGAAATGGTTTTCTGCATGTTGTAGGGGCTCATGCGAGGAACACAGAACCATGATCCATTTTTCCTGAACGCCTCCAGGAATGTCAAAACAGTGGTGAAGAAATGGTCCAGAGTTCGATCCCCGGTGATGACTAATTTTTGCAATATAGTTTGGCGCCCCCAGACCGCCAAATGGCGCCATCGTCGAGAATAGATGTCATTGTCGTGTTTTGCGGCAATTTGGAGGCGCCAACATAAATTGCAAAAATTTGTCATCACGGAGGATCGAACTTTGGACCATTTCTTCCCCGCTGTTTTGACATTCCTGGGGGCGTTCAGGAAAAATGGACCATGGTTCTGTTCCTCACATGAGCCTCTACAACATTCAGAGAACATTTTGAAAAAAAACGCTCCATGTCCTGAAAGACCCCCTTGTAAAGGATTAATTCTAGTTTATTGCGATCAGTGGATGTATTCTTTGCACCGATCCATTATAATGAGATTCATAATCATTCACCATCAACAGGATTTGCAGTTTGTTTTATATGTGAAAACTTCTTTTGCCACAATACGAGACGAGTAACAGCCTGGTCTCAGCATAAGGGTTGTGGACGAAGACGAAGGTGAGAGTAGGAATTCGGGACTACAGCTGCGACTTCCTGAATTGGCCGCTCAGTGACGTCATAGCTGCCTCTGAATGTCATGAATAGACCAAAAGGGGAAGATCACAATAAATGTGTGACTTCAAATGAGTTGCATCCGTGGTGCATAATATAATAGTTCATCGTGCCAAGACTAAGGTGAAAAACTCATTGAGAAGTTTTCGCAAGGCAGCCTCTGCCCCAAACATAAAACTTCTGCGACGTGTAACTTTAATAAAATTGATGCGCTTCCATAAACACGCCATTGATTTTCTTAGCTATTACATTTAACGGGGTCAACGTCTTGAATAACTGTACAATTTCTTGTTTTTTTTTTCAGTTCTTCCAGCACGTGCGCAATTTTGCAGTTGAAGACTTGAAGTGTGCCAGAAATGAACGCGATATCGCATGTGTAAGTTGCTGGAAGTTCCTTCCTATTTGTAGTGAAGATTTTCTATTGATCTGCGCTTCAACTTCGGATCCAAATTATCGAAGAAGCTGCTGATTCTCCCGTTGAAGCGGTCGAACTTGTTCATATTTACTGGTGATGTGATACTCATCACATCATGTACCGCACTAATAATTTGCTCGGGAAAAATTTTATCAAAGCATTTTGAGTTTATGAATCGCACGGAAATGACTAAGGGATAATAAAAACAATAATGGTGGAGGGTGCCAAGATGGGAGCAGCTGAAGTAAGCATTCGCATATACGATTTTGAGACTTCTCAGGAATCTATCAGCCGTGAGGCTAGGCAATTCAACGTTTCGTAGTGTTGTTTGGGAGCTATCGCACTGCACACTAATACAGCATCTCCGCTTGCTTTATTCCCTGTAAAAAGCTTAGTCTTAATACTACCAAAGCGTATGCTTTTCCACCCCTTTTTCTAACCCTCTCACCCTTTGGCTGACGGGAGTCTTATCAACTGTTGAGCGTCCTGACAATATCAGACATTCATTAGAAGTCGAGCAGAGGAGTAGAGATGAATGTTTGGTCATGGCGGTGCGACGGACGCCGAGACCGGCCAATGCTAGAAAACGAATTTAGTCGGTAACGGGGAAGTGAAAACAACCTTGAGGCGAAGGACTTGAATACCGTTAGAGAAAGTGGATAGTAAGGCTAGCAAGGGCCTGGCGCGCAGCAAGCTAGGTGGTTAAGGAAAGGACGCGGTCTACTAATCATTAGCCTGGCATCCATGTTGAGTTGCCAACTGCACTGCATGGGGGCGGGGGACCAACCGATACTTGTTGTTAATGCTAATATTCCGGATTTATTGTAGCAGCTTGTCTGCAGATGTCCTCATCCATGCCTTCACGATCTTTTTATTTTTTTTTTATTTCGTATGTGGTGAAGTATGCCTTTCAATTGCAGATTCTCGATGTGTTATACGTTAATCGGGATTTCCTTGCTTCAAAAGAACGTGAACTTGCCGCAATTGTTCTACGTGGAATTAGCAGAAGATTGGCGAATGTGAATCATTTTTCTTTTTGTTGTTGATTATTTTGCTTTTTCAACTGTTGATTGAGTCAGCCTAGGACTTGTTTACCAATTCTATCGACTGCTTTCACTTCATTTCAAAGCAGCATGTGATCTAGGCCTGATACAATAGCAGCAGCTTACCGTCTTCTTGCATTCGTTTCTGAGGAACGAGCGGTTACAACAGATGAAATGGAGTGGATCAAGTCGTGTGTTAACGCTGAGGAGGAGCTGCCGAAACGAATCGCTTTGGAAGTAGGAGCCTACTATCTGAAGCGTGGTGAGTAAATTTGATCTCAAAATTTTTATGTACATTGTAAATAGCTCCCGTGGCCTTCCAAAAGTATATGTTTACGACCAAAGTACCGCTTACTTCAAAGTGAAAAGATGACGCTAAAATGTTAGTGAGGTCGAAAAGGTCTGCTGGTTGCACTCACTGTAACGCCAAAAATTCAAAGCAACAACCCCAGATCAATTGGTGGGGTAACAGCGTTCGGTAATGCAATTGTGATGCTGATTTGATTGAGAACTAAAAAAGAAAGAAAATAGCCGATGAAGTTCTCAAACAGCTCCTTCCATTCTCCCACCCCTGAAAAGAGGGAGGGCCGTGTCCGAGACGTCGTTTGAGTCTGCTTGCTCCGTGGCTCCACTAACCCGCGCGTATTTGAGTTAGTCCACTACGTCGTAATCCACGTTGCGTGTCATGGGGTGTGCGCGAGGTATCTCGTCCATTAGCTCACATTAGCCGTCATTAGCTCACTTTGTAAGGCCCTAGCGCCATTGTCGCGCACTTTCGAGCTGCGACAATGGCACAGCTGTGCATAGCGCTCCACAGAATAGATTTTCCGAACGCGAAATCTTCTGAGGTGTATGCTTTGATAAAACATGCTGTTCAGCATATTTGTAATTGGCTATCGCACATGCGGGTGCACTATGTTGCAATGACTTGAAACTCTTGAAATCAAATCCTTTTGGTCTGATCATCTCCCATCAAGGCGGAAAGCTGCTTTGATAAAACAGCCTGTTGCACGCATGTTGTGTTAGCTATCGCAATGTGCGGGGGCACTGTGTGGCAATGCACTTGAAATTCCTTGAAACAGTTCCTTTTTGTTTGAAACGGGATCATTCCCTAGGCGGGGGAGGAGCTAATCAAGAGAGCGTGAGCGATTGTCATTTTTTCCAGACTTTCCTGCCTTTTCCTAGGTATAGTCCTAGAGGGTGCCCCCGTACCCTGCGATAGCACCTAATTTCAATACACTTACAGGAAGCGATGACCAACTGATTGCTGTTTTGGCTTCTTTCCTTCAAGATGATGCTCTGCACATACGAGAAGAGGTAAGTCAAATTTTCAGTCGAGCTTTAATGAAATATTATAAGGATAATGTTGGTGCTTCATCATAGTAATAAGCATGGTTTTTGGGACTTTATGACCCTTATTGCTAACAAGTGGGTCATGCTTTATGTATGCTTTGTAGCTGATATTGCCTTCTAATCCATTTCTTTGCTGCGTAATACTGTTCATTTCAGAGTCTTGCTGTCATCGAGGCATATGTTAATTTCAGGCTTCATCGTTATTATCGAGACATATATTGAAGAGCAACATAGTGCTCAATCCTGGTGTGTGCTATCGCTTAATTATCGAGAATGAGCGTTATGCTAAAAATGAGGTCACAGAACGGCAACCAAATGTAAGTTTTTTTCTCGGTTCTTGCTAAGTACCGTAGTTGGGTAATGATGACACTGGACCAGTATAAAAAAACCGAGGAGTAAGAACTCGTTATTGACCAATCTTTTCGTGAGATACGCCATACATTCGGCTTCCGTTCCGAGTCGTGGGGCACTTTGCATGCGATCTGGTCTATACGATGACTTGCGGGACACAGCCGATGTACAGGTAAACATTTTTCCTCCCATAGGAGTATGGCACCATTCAAGCAACCCCAAGGAATCGAGAGCTTGGTATCTGGAAGAAAAAAATGTTGATATATAATAATTTAGATATGAAAATTGTAATGGACGAAACAAAAATGCCATGAATCAATTTTTCAATCAATTTTTCTCACCGTTATGATTGACCTGTAAATAAATAAATTGAAATACTCAAAATCACACTGTTCGTTGACCGTGTGGGCTTGATTTGCGTCCCATCCCTACGAGTGTCTTATTGGATAGCCCAACTTATTTACTATATTTTCCACGTTTCACCATCAGTATGGAGAACTGATCAGAAACTCTTGTAGAGACGAAGCGCAAACCTCGCTAACATGGTAGAAGGCATTAAGTGACGGTACAGCCAACAACTCCCACCCCTCCCCGCTCCCTCCAGCGCCTGGGGAGTCTAGCCCGTCAATGACGTTCGATGATGTCATCAAAACCCGCACCGCTTTTAAGCCATCGTGATCACTGGTTCAGTACCACCATTCTAAAACAAGGCAACTGTCTCAAATGAGAGTGATCTCTGCCAAACGTTTCATTACCAGAAGGCACTTACCCTCACCTTCAAAAAGCCAGAAAGTGTGTGGGTGCAGACCAAACACCACAACTGACGACGGCCTCCAAGTAAATCTGGTTAGTAGTGGTTCATAGTGATAGCTGATTTTTAGTAAATGATAGTTGTAATTAGTGTCAACTGATCGAATACAACTGTAACAGGTTAATCATTTCATTGGCAAAAAACATTGCATTTTCTGGAGGCCGTCGTCACTTGTGGTGTATGGTCTGCACCCGACACTTTCTGGCTTTTTGAAGGGGAGGGTACGTAAAATTCTATTAAAGTACAATAACAAAACTGATTTTCAACCTTTCTGTTCTTGACAAATTTGTCAAATGAGGTTGAAATTATTCGGTTGAGGTGCTGAACGAGTCTGCTGAGGTTCTTTTTGATGCTTGCTCAACAAATCCTTATGCTGAAACACGTACTTTTGGTGAATTTGATGAGGTAAAGTCGATGATCGCCGAATTGAAAGAGATTTAGTAATTTTTCATTAGTCGTTAAAAACGTTCAGATGTATCGAGTTCCGTTTTTCGGTTGTTAATTATAATGACTGGTTGTCGTTAAATTTTTTATCATGTAGATATCTTATGGAATTATGTTGTTTTTGTTATGAAAATTCTTGGAAAGAATTATTGTTTCTGTTTGTTTTTTAATTGTTGTATACCTTGTTTGCGATTTTAGCATTCGATAGCGTTTTTATCTACTCAATAGGCACTCCGAGTGCCTTTGAATAGCTATTTGATCCACTTTTTATTTACGCAAAGTCAAAATTGTATACTCTTTGTCGTGGTGCACTGTGTGGGGCTTGTAAGGGTTTACTCGATCTGACTAAGAAGGTCTTCCGTCGTGCCTGCTTTCCAGGACAGTTTCATCGAATAGTGAAGTATGGTTCGTGCAATGGATCTCATGAACTAAGGTCACTTTTCCCTAGCAGGCGCTCTGATGCCAAAAATGGTATATAGGGCATCATTACTAGCTTCGGCCATTTGGCTTCATACAGGCGCCAGTTGAAAAATGCGAAACTTTGTCACCACCGGGAATCGAACCATGATAAAGCTTTTGTCTCTTTTTGGCGTTGAGAGGGCCACTCAGGAAATATGAAGCACAGTTCTATGTTCCATGCACGCGACTTTTGTATTGCAGAATACCTGTTTTTGAAAAGCGGGGCATGACTTAAGACCGTCCTTAGTGATGCCATCATCATCATTTTTTCTGTTTTCTTATCTTGGCCATCTCACATGCTACAGCGAGGGTTGTTATGTATATTACTTTTAAAATACACATTTTCCTCATTTTTCTACGCTCCGTTCATGCTCCCTACGAATGCATTAGCTTTTTTTGATCGGAAAATAAAAAATTGCTTATTTGGACAAGTTAGGATCGTTTGAAAAGAGTAGATTTCATATTTCTTTCAGATTTCATATTGGGGAAACGTCGAAGATACTAACCCTCAACTACACTTGCTGATAATTTATACCCAAAAAACAAGAAGAGTGTCGGTGCAGACCATACACCACAAGTGACGACGGCCTCCACAAAATGTAAATATTTCTGCCAATGAAATGATTAGCCTGTTGCAGTTGTATTCTATCAGTTGTCACTAATTACAACTATCATTTACCAAAAATCAGCTATCACTATGAACACTACTAACCAGATTTACTTGGAGGCCGTCGTCACTTGTGGTGTATGGTCTGCACTCACGCTTCTCTCAATTGCATCTAAACACCTCGATTCTCGCCATAGCTACTTATTGCGGTTGTATTCCTGTAAAAGTAAGATTGCTAGCAGTAATTCTATTATGAACACCAGCACAAGTGTGGCCTCTCAAAATCAAAAAAGCCTCGGCTGCGCCGCGTAATTAACATCCATTCGAAATAAAACACGCATTTGAACAACTTTTTTCCAGAAACTTTACGCCTCCCTCCCACTTCCCGGGGGAGCGTCCACAACCACCATCAGCCATGGGGAATCTCCCTATCCCTCCGTCCTCCCGCTCGCCACCATCCTCACCATCACAGCTGTTTCCGTAGTACTCTGTCCACATTCTCCAGAGCTGCCGTTTAGCGGGGGAGGGAGGGGGGGGTATTTCTAATGAAGCGGCAAATGTCTAATTTTATCCATTTTACGATTCTTGTCAAGATTTTTTGCCTAAGTTATCGAAAAACTCGTCAAAAACGACTAAAGACGCTCCCTGTTTCTCAACCACAACCCCTCACCTTTACAAATGCAACCCGCTCTTCAACCTTGTGACATTCGTCAACCACACACGTGACCTCCCTCGTCGGTACATGTACCCACGGATGGTTGAACCTGTTTGAAAGGTTACCTGGTCTAAACAATGAAATTAGCTAGTCAAATGTTATGTACTGGATTTCCACGAGGTGAGCTGTACTGATCAATTAGAATGAGATTATTTGCTACGATGGATTCCTTATGAAACTCATCGCTTTAAAGCTATCGTTCCTCTTCGCACTACTTCCTGATTTTTTAACACAGTGTCACACCAGTTCGACCACGAACTGTACCTTTAGGTGAGCAATTCTCGATAGGGCCATATTCAAGTTATTTGGGATGGGGACTTAGTCGAGTTTTCAGGTCAAGTCGCGTTGGACGACAGGGACGCATATAAGTGGTTCTACTGACACTTTGCTTATCATTCCGGTTTCTGAGCCTTTAACTAGCTTACCGGTTCCATGAGTTTTGTCGGTATACCGTGTTTCGACCTTCTGGTAAGTGCCTATGACCCGTTGTACCAACTAAAGGACACATGGAGGACTGGTGTATGAAATTGCCCGTTAATCTGCAGTTGCTGCCTCGGTTAGGTT